CTTTTATTATACTTATCATATTTTCTTCCTGATATTTCTTCCTCCAATATCTTTGTATGCCTCCAGTTATTTAATGTGGTTTTCCTTTGTGTCTTCCTTTAAGCAGTATAAATAAAATGACTCACTGTTTTTAGTATTGACTGGTTAGACTGATTCATTGATCGATCCTGACAATATGTGATCACAATAAAAAGTTTAGCCATTAGCATTTGATTTGCTATAAGACATTTATGTTTAAGTAAAAATAGATATTATAAAATGACTAATTTTTAGCCCACAAACAAATGAAAAGAGTAACAGAGGACTATGTGAAATCACATAGATCTGTGATTTCATCTAATCATCCAATATAGGGGGGCACCAACTTTGCAATTTATTGTCATAATGTGTTGCTGAGAAGACTGAGAGGTTAAATGACTTGCCGAGGATTACACAGCCAATATATATCAGTGGTTCCAGTCCTTGGACTTTAACAAAGAACTAGTTGGTTTCAAGGTCCATTCTGTATTCCATATAGCAAAAAATGAAACAATAATTACAAACAATAAAAGTCATCCCAATTCATCTTTGAAACATAGCAGTCAGTTAACAAACAATATTATAGAATGTTACTGGGATTTTACATTTTTATATCAGGTAACTAAAGCTATACTCTTAGATAAGTAGAAAGTTTAGCATTTTAGTTAGAAATAGTCCCTGATAGTCTGGGTCACCAGTGTGTTTTCTAGTAATTGAAAAACTATATGGTGGGGGAAAAAAATCAAAGGTCAGAAAAACTTTAAAGAGAAAGATTGTGTTTTCTTCTTAAACTGTTTTTTAAAAAAATAGTCACTAACCTCTTAAATCTCAAACCAATTACAGATATTGTAGTACCATCACTAATTACATGCTGAGAGCATTAATTTAAAATGGCAGTTTCAATTTTCATTTCATCTAGACAAGGCAGAAAATGAAGGTGCATACTAATTAGTTCATGTATGTCATACACCTGAAAGATTAGGGGAAAACTGTGCTCATTATAAGTGAGTTATAAGCAAAGTACTCAAACCTTTCATTTGAAGGACTGCATATAAATAAAAGAATTAAGTGACAAAGGAAATTAATAATGAGTGCTCAAACACAGAAAAGTTGGGACATGATTAGAATCCGAAGAACCTCCTAGTACAAAAATTTTCTTTTTGAAAATGGATACTATTTTCTTTATTTTAATTTTTCATTTTAAAATTATTTTTAAAAATTTCAAACAGGAGTTTTTATTAATAATCTGTGCTCCCCACAATGAACCCTTCAATGAACACATTTTGTGAATTGAAGATAAAAGGTTGAATGTATTTAACAAAGTGAATATAAGAAAATTCAAAAGATGTAATATCTCCAAAACTACCGGTCTCCAGCATTTATATATAGAGTTATTCCTTCCACATCACAATTTCATGGTTTCAATATATTGTAGGTTGGCATAAGAAATTAAATGGGAATTTTGGGGGAGTTTTATGGAGACCACAGATGACATGAGAAGACCAACAGATGACACGGAGCTTATGACCAAATACTTAACCTAAATTTTACAACATCCCAGAAAAGAAGAAAAAAAATTCAGACTTCTTCTCTGGTACAAAAGTAGGGCTAAAAAATTTACCATGAATTTCCCAGATTGCACAGGTGCCATGCCCCAACCCCTGCAATATGGAAGGGATAAATACTATACATTTTCTTCTGTCTTCCTTCCATAAGCGTGGAACCTTTTCTAATGAGTCCAATAGTCTTTACCACTGTCTCTTCCTTGCAGAATAAACTATCATCTTCTTCAGCTAACAAAACAAACAAATAATTCCCACCATCTTACAAGAGGGAAAGATTATTTCATGATTCTAAATCATGGAACAAAGGAGTTCATTTAGACTCTTTATGTACCTCTGGCAGTAGTCAACCAATCAGTCCTGAAGCACTGTTGCTGTTTCAGCCTGTGCTTTGTGTCTAATTAGCTTGGAGCTATTCATGAGAAATGCATAAATGTCAAGGTTCAAAGTACATGCAGTAGAAGACAAATTCCTTAAAGTAGACATTTGAGCTGAAAAAAAAAATGGATTGGGGGAGAAGGAAATAAAGGAAGAGTTGGGCTGTAATTCAGTTGCTGTTTATGTGGCTGGAACAAATTTGGGTCTTCCAGTTAGGCCTTCCAATTCTAATTGCTACATGGTATTCCAAGTGCAAATTTGTGCAGGGACCAACCTACCACCTGTACTCTGCAATCCATATTTATGTGCTAGCTGCCACAGTAGATAGAACACTGGGCTTAGAGTCAAGTTCAGAGAATCATGTTCAAATACTACCTTAGACATTTATTAGCTATGGAAATCTGGGCAAGTCACTACTCTTTCAGCCTTAGTCATTCATCTGTAAAATTAGGGGTTGGACTCAGTGGCCTTTTTGGTCCCTTCCAGATCTAAATGTGTGATCCTGTGATATAGTCTTTTACTGTTGAGAGAAGAAATTCTCAGTGAGATGAAAATCTATGAGAAAAAAGTTGACTAAATCTTAAAGCTATAGCTTTTAATAAAATTTGTAGCATAAAGACAATAATGGAAGTGCACTATCTTGGGACTTCTCTTTTAATTAGTGAAACATACTTCTTTCGGTCTTCATGGTTACTAATTGGATCCCCCTCCCTGGATATAGGTACCCCAGGAATGCAACTAGGCTATTCTTGCCACTAGCTTACATTTTCTTTTTGTATGTTCTCAGAGATGTAAATGACCAAGGCCAATTAAAATAAAAAAAGAAATGAATAATTCACTAAATTTAATTCATTAAATTAAATTTTAAATATTATACACACAAACAAAACAGACATATATGCACACAAATTAAATAAATGGATGAACACAGAAAGGGTGAGCCCCGCATCTGTGATTTCACGGGTATAGGAAAGGAACAAGGAAAATCCCTCCATCAAAAAATGCATCTTGTCTTCTGTTCTGCATCTTAAAAAAGTTTCCTGAAAATGCTGAAAAACTAAGTTGCTTGCTAAAGTTCACACAGCCAGAGGAAGGACTTGGAAGTCAACCCTTTTGTCAAGTGGCCACACTGCCTTTCATATATAGTAACATACAATACACATTCATAGATTATAGAATGCTTAAGGATACTTTTTAGCCTGTTCTAGTACATATTAGACAGAAGGACCGTATGGAAGAGGTCCTTGTTTGACATCCTGAACAGAGGACAATTCATGGCATTTGTCTCAAATACATTTTTCATATTTACAAAATAAAAGCATTCCCTGTATTTATCTCACAGGGACAACTTGACAAATATCTATAAGGCATTTAAAATCTATGGAGAAAAATTAACCAAGGGTCAAAGTATATCAGGAGAAGACAATGTAGTCTATGACATCAATAATAGCTCACACTTATATAGCACAGTTCTGGGGAAGAATTCTTTCTTGTATCTCATTATTTCATTTGATTCTTACAAAACCCTATGGGGTAGGAGGCAGCATGACAGTGCAAAGAGAAATGGATTTGGAAATGAAGGACCTAGGTTTCACTCCTGGGCTTGCCAGTGGCTAGTTATGTAACATTGGGAAAGTCACTTCATCTCTCAGGGCCTCAGTTTCCTAATTTGTAAAATAAAGGAGTTGGACCAAATGATCCTCCAGCATCCTTGCAGTTCTAAATTCTATGTAATGAAAATGCTGGCATTGCCATTTTAAAGAGGAAAGCAGTTTTGCCCACTGGGATTAAATAACTTCACACAGCTAGGACTGAGCTTAAAAGCCAGGTATTACCTGAACTCAGAAGTCCTGAGTTCAGATTTGGCTTCAGACACTTACTAGCTGTATGACCTTAGGCAAGTCACTTAACCTCTGTTTGCTTCAGTTTTCTCATCTGTAAAATGGGGATAATAACAGTCTACCACTAAGGGCTGTTGTGAGGATCAATTGAGATGATACTTGTAGAGCACTTAGCCCAGTGCCTGGCAGATGTGAGCATTATATAAATGTCAGTTATTGTTGTTATTATTATTACTATTACTATTTTTATTATTATTTTGTGGTTGTTGTTAAGTTGTTCAATTGTGTCTGACTCATTGCTACCCTTTGTGGGGTTTTCTTGGCAAAGATACTAAAGTGGTTTGTCATTTCCTTCTGTAACTCATTTATATACTGAGGTAAACAGGGTTAAATGACTTGCCCAGGGTCACACAGCTAGTAAGTGTCTGAAACCAAATTTGTATGCAGGAAGATGCGTCTTCATGACTGCAGACCCAGCACTCTATCCACTGTGCCACCTAGCTGCCATTATTATTATTAGTTCTTATTATTTTAATAACAAGTCTAGTGGTCTGTCTTTTACCCCATACTACCTGCCTGAGTCTCAAAAAAGATCAAGAAATACAGAGTTGGAATGATGACTAACCATATCACCTTTAGTAAATCACCCTCATTTCTATGTACCATAGTTGTTTGCACATGAGAATAAAAGAGATGCCATGAAGGAAATATCAGCTATGGGAAGAGAGTTTCTGCATGGATTCAGGTAATAGCCTTGATAGCATGTCACTACTGTACTGCTTCATGGAGAAAGAAGGAATACAGATAACTTGTATTCCTTTGGACTGTCAGAAGTTGTCCATCTGCAAATATCAATGTTAAATGTTAACACGGCACTAATGAACACTAATGAATGGCTTGAATAAAAAAAGCAGTCTTTTTGATAATGTGTCTTCAAAAACCTGAATTTTAAGCCCTAAAGGCTCTAACGTCTTTAAATGCCCTCAAAAGAATCTTACTCCAGAAGGTAACTTCACACTTTCAAAAATATTTTTGTGTTAAAAATGGTTACTCAATATTGCCTCCAAACTAAATATTCCTCTTTTGTTTATGACAGTGAGTAAAAGTCATTCTATTAGTTTATCACTTGTCTTCATCATTCCAAAATTACTTTGGCAATTGGTTTTGCAATTTTTTTTCCTTCCACAATTCCATCTGTTACCTGAATCCATGGCCACCTGTCATTTTCCGCAGCAGTCCAAGCATTTACAAGCCCCTTCTTGTTAAGGCGTGCATAGTAAGGGTACCATTTTTGCAGCCCAAAAAGTGCTCGGTGGGTAGATGAAGCTGTGATTTGCTGGTTGGATATGATCCCTCCTTCAATTCCCAAGGGGCCAGAACATTCTAGAAATAAAAGCCAAGGGAAAAGGTGAGGTCATTTCAAATAAAACTTTATTTAATAATTAATAATCGATCAGTAAATATTTATTAAGCACCCACTGTTGTCCACCCATTGTACTAAGTGCCACGGATAAAAAAAGGAGGCAAAAGACAGTCTCTCAAGGAGGTTGAGATCTGATGGGGGAGGGGGAGGAGACAATATGTAAACAAATATATGCAAAGCAAACTATATACAGTATAAATAGGAAACAATTAATAGAGGGAAGACACTAGAATTAACAGAGATTGAGGAAGGCTTCTTGTAGAAGGTAGAATTTTGTTAGAATTTAGAAGATAGAGAAGTCAGTGGTCAAAGCAGAGAAGGGAGTGCATCCAGGGATGGGGGACAGAGAGAGAATGTTATAGTTAAAAGACAGAGTATCTTGTTCATGGGACAGTCAAGAGGCCAGTATCACAAGACAAGACTGAAGAGTATGTGCTGGGGAGTAAGGTATAAGAAGACTGGCAAGTTAGGATGGGGCTAGGTTATGAAGGACTTTGAATGCCAGAGTGTTTTGTATTTGCTGTTGGAGGCAACAGAAGCCATTGGAGCTTATTGAGCAGGAGATATGTGTGTTTGAAATAATCAGACTTATTTTTGGGAGTGGAATGGAGCTATTAGATGTCTCATTCTAACCAGAAGTTTTTTTTTAAACCCTTGAAGACTTCCCTAACTTAGTACTCCAGACCATGACAACTTTCCCCTCCCACAACCTATAGCATTAATTGATCACCTATCTGACTTGTCATAGATTCAGAGATCTAAAATTAGAAGAGGTTTCAGAGACCATGTACTCCAAATCCCCTCCCCTTCTCCCCTACTTTACTGATGAGGAAATTGAGGGCCAGGTAGGTTGAGATTTGTTTAAGGGTCATTCATGGTAATAAATATCAGAGGCAGGCGATTGAATACTATCCCTTTGATTCCAGAATTTGTGTTCTAGGCATATTGACATTTGTAGTTATTTGTTTTTTCCATGGCTTGTCTATTCAATCAGATTGTAACTTTCTTTTTTTTTTCCTATTCTTTTCTTTTTTTTGTGAGGCAATTGGAGATTAGGGGACTTGCCAAGGGTCACACAGGTAATAAGTGTCAAGTGTCTGGTCTGAGACTAGATTTGAACTCAGGTCCTTCTGACTCCAGGGCTGGTGCTGTATCCACTGTGCCACCTAGCTGCCCCCCCCCAGATTGTAATTCTTAAGGGCACAGATTTTAACTTATGATTTCTTGGATGCCTGTTATATCTGACCATAGAATTGCTGTATTCACATTTTTTTCTAGGCATTTGATCACAGATTTAGATAAGGAAAGGCCTTTAAAGACTATTTAGTCCAAAGCCTTCATTTTTTGTGTGAAGAAACAGAGATTTAGAGAGTCTCTGTAGGTTATCAAAGCTTGGTAAACACCACACAGCTAGCATGTGGCAGAACTAGGATTTGAACTCAGGTTTTCTGATCCCAAAGCTGGTACTCTTTCTACTGCACCACCTTGGCTCCCTAGTGGCATGCCTTATACACAAAAGGGAGTCAAGAAATGTTTGTTGATTGTTTATTGACGTGATACTTTAGAGTTTTTCATCCGCAGATATTTTTACTATGTGAAAATAAATTAACATTTCCTACTTCTAAAGATACTTGCCACCTAAAATTTACAGGGTCAAAAAGATTGCTAATGCTTTCCAAGCAACAAAGCAAATATAGATATAAGCCACTTATCCTAATTCTTGTTTTACATGGTTTTGATGTGTGGTATGTATGACAAGTAATATGTGCAACATCAATACAGGGAATATATGATTCCCCCCAAAAAATTAGATAGAATGTCAAACATGTGTGGCTCTTTCTACACCCAGATTTCTATGATCTTTGAGAAAAAAAGTACTGTTCTTTCACCTTTCTTTGATTAACCTACAATTGACAACACTCTTCCTCTATTTCCTAATTTATTGCACCTTAAATTTATGATTAGGAAATTCAGTCAAGATAAGTAACCTGAAAATTTACCATAAACATTTAGAATATTAAGTGATCATCCTTACAAGCAAAAAATACATTCTCAGTTTACAGAAAGCAAACAGTTTTAACTCAGATATTTAATTTCCTAAAATAGGTATGAAGGGCCAAATACCAGTTCAAATAGTCAAGGTGTTATATCAAAATATAATTTTTATGTGAAATTTCAGACCAGCAATTAGGTTTTCCTTTTTAAGCCATATAAATGGGAGAAAATAAGCTTAGTCAAATGACAGATTCTAAAGTTATCTGAAATAAAGAGAAGTGACGAGGAAAAGTACTGCCTGTTTTTCCTCTTCTGTGAAGAAACTGATACAGAATAAATTAATTTTTCTATGACTATTTCCATAGTCAACTAAAATAATTTGCTAAATTGAACCTCAAATTTAATAACAGAAATTGGAGCTCCTAAAGGGTATTTCATAATCACTGTTATAAGGTATTCCTGTAATTTGAGATGATTTGTGACTATTATTGAGTAGCTTTGAGTTAATATCAGTGACAGACATTTTTCGATCTATAAAGACTGACGGCAAATATGAAGCCAAAAGAATGGTGTTCAAAAGTGCCAGAATGGGACCACCATATAGACCATTATTATTAGGAAATTTTTCTCATTGGAAATAATTTGTTTCCATTCATGGAATAAACAAAATAAGGTTGAATATATGTCTCTTTCCTTAATCTCATCTTGTGGCCTTTCAGCTTCATAAACTTAAAAAGAGGATGACATAGGTAGACAGTGATATTAATAATTTTTAATAATGATGGTAATAATAATTTTAATCAATATTTTAGTGGTTCTGTGACCTTACTGAAGTGAGCATTCCCTCCAACAGTGCAGAGCTCAAACTATTCATTCCTGTCCATCTTCTATCACTCTTGATGCTACACATACAGACACAGATACACAGGCATGCACATGCTCATACGCTCTTACTCATCCATATGGGGTCAACACAATGGACTAGGGACTATCCTTTAGATCTCCTGGTAGTTCATAGGTGCCATGCAAGCATGCAAGCTGAAAAATGATTTTTCCAAACTCTCATTTCATGATCAGTCCACCGTGTTTTCTGGTTATACTTTCTGGTGGTATCATTTATACTATTACTCCTTCACAGTTCACCACTGATAATAAGTTAAGACCTACTCTTGCCCATAATGTGCCTTTTTATTATTCTTTAGGTGACACATAACTTTAATCCTTCAGACAATCTAGGATTCTATGACTTATAACCATGGAGTATAACCAGATGAATCTTCATATTCAAAAGATAGGTTGTTATTTGAGGGAGAAAGCTTGGGTTAACTAAAAGCACTGCATAACTTTCCAAAGGCAAGCCAGCCTCTGGTCTTCCTTCTGTTTGATTAAGAGACTAGCTCATTATCCAACAGCAGTATCTACTCAAGTTATACATGTTAAAGGGTGAAGATGCCTATGCATTGTCTTATGGATCAATGCTGTGATTTGTCCATTCAAATGCATTTCATCGTCTGAATAATTACCAATCTTCAGCCACTTGGTATTTCCTGTGTTATTAGTTAGAAGACACTCTTTTGTGTGATTAAAGGTCTGATTTAGGAGGCCCTGGAATACCTTGAAGCTTAATTCAATCAGTACAATGCCACTGACCAGCAGAAATATCTGGAAGAGCTCTTTATCTGTAGAGAACTATATATCTATATCTATATCCATATCTATCTATCTCTCTATCTATCCATCTATCTATCATTGTACATACTCTGATGGTGACAAGTACCCGAGCAAGTATACCTTTCCATCTTTTATGACTCATATGGTATTAATATCCACAAGGTCTGCAAACAAAGTTATCTCCTTCAAAGAATCTTCTTTTATGATTTAACATAAAGACATGCTGCTGGAAGAGAGTTTTTAAGGCAACATTTTTTTCTGCTGAGTCCAGTGATTTTTATACTGGATAAAGCATAGAGTGAGATTTTGTGTTCTTCACATTTTTTAGCAAACTGCATAACTTTAAAGACATGGTCAGATATAGAATATCATTTATGAAAGCTTTCCTTTCTTTTCTCATGGTTTCATTGAGGACTGGGCTATCCTTCCAGAAGAAATAATAGAAGTAAGATAAAGCTATCTCATACAATTAATCTAATTCTAACCCAATCTATTTAAACAAGCTTTTGATAACGAAAAATGGATTCATGAAGAGACATCAACACAGATTATAGCATTTTCTAAGGGAGCTTAACCAATATAAATCAATTTCACAATGAGAAGACCAAACTAGCTGAGAAACTGCCTCAACAACAATTATCTCCTTAGCAGCCATGTAGATATAATAGCAAAGTGTCACACTAATTTGAAATAGGAATTCATTTTTAAAATATAATATAGGAAAATGGCATAATGAGTATCTCATGAATGAGCAAGAATCAATGGAGGGAACATCAAGTTAATAGAAAGCCTGGAGAGATACCTCATTAAACCTGCCTATCTTGAGGGTGTTTTAGGTAGAAAAAAGAAGGAAGGAACCAAACAGATAAAAAATGGAAAAGATCTGCTAAGATTTCTATAACAAACACTTTCATCCAGACATACCAGTGGAGCCACTTATAACATCACAGACCCAGATGTGGGGTATGTGTTGCATGAGGAAGTAGGAATGATGCTAAGGAACTTAAAAAAGGGAAGAACAGTTGAATTAGAACAATGAGTCATAGAAGAGCTCAATGCTGTAGGCAACCCAATTGTGTTGGCTTTAAGGTATTGATTCTAAAGATATTCGAACAACCAGAGGACACAAAATGCTTGAAGAAAATCATCAACTTTGCTATTACCATAAAAAGTGATCAAGAAAGTCTTAAACATACTTATTAATAAATAATAAAGATGTCAAAATTAATTCAGCTTAAACAAAAAAATTAGGTTCCTATTACATTCAAGGTACTGTGATCAGCACAGGGAATAC